CTGAAGAGATGAAAATCAGAATTTACAGCCTGAGAGGCGAATTTATACTCTCTGGCCACGCCCGTTTCGGCGGGCTCTGACGCAATGAGAGCAGGTCAGACTCTCATTGGCCGAGAGTTCATTCGTGTCTCCTCATAGGCTTAAGCAGTTCCCTGTGAGCGAGCCAATGAGCTGCTAGCTAGCCTGCTCATGCTCTGCTGCAGCTGAACTGCGTTGACAATAGATACAAAATTATAGGATAATTTTTGGCTTCAATTTCTCAGAAAAGATGAATCTTTCCCGTAGCGTAAGCTAGCTTACGCAATACGAGAGAACCTCTCGTAAGAGAAACAGAGATTCTAATTATTGGACAAAAAACTTCCACACGTAATAACCTACCATACGGTCTAACACTTGATGGCTGCTCTGTCAAGTCTTCGTCGTCAGTTAGGAACCTGCTCTTTGATAGCAGTCTTTCATTTGAAAGTCATGTGAATAGTATCTGTATGTGGCGAGCAGGACGAGGCCGAGGGCCGTGAGAGAGCTGCGCGAGGCCGGTGGCGTGATTACTGATGAGCGACACCTGCGCGACGCACCGGTCTCGTATCTCTCACGGAGGAGCGGAAGCATAAAAGGAGGAGCGACGACAGTCGAGATGGAGAGAGGAACAGGCCTGATTTTATGTTGTGTTTTGTTTCTGTTTTGTGTGGCCAGCAGTCGTCCGTGAGGGGCTGCTGGCTTATACTTTCATTTTTGTATTTGTTTATTTATTTATTAAACTAGTTGAATGTTCGCCGGTTCCCGACTCCTTCTTCCCATAACAACTGAACCTCGTTACACTGTAAAACCGCATTTTTCCATCTTAAAAATATATCTAAATTACGTCATATGCTCTCATTGACAAATGCGGAACAGTTAGTTCATGCGTTCATGACATCAAGGCTAGATTATTGTGGTCTACTGGGTGGTTGCCCTGCACGCTTAATAAACGCAGCAGCTCGAGTTCTTACCAGAACCAGGACGTAGGACCATATTAGCCCGGTTCTGTCAACACTGCATTGGCTCCCTATTAAACATTGTATAAATTTTAAAATATTGCTGATTACTTACAAAGCACTAAATGGTTTAGCTCCCCAGTACTTGAGCGAGCTCTTAGCGCATTAAAGTCTGTCACGTCTATTGCGATCTCAAAATTCCGGCCTGTTGATAATACCTAGAATATCAAAATCGACTGCAGGCGGTAGATCCTTTTCCTATTTAGCACCAAAACTCTGGAACAGTCTTCCTAACATTGTCCGGGAAAGAGACACACTCTGTCAGTTCAAAGCTAGACTAAAAACACATCTCTTTGACCTAGCATACACATAACACATTATAGACTTCTATAATTCAATGTTAGGCTGCATAGATTAGGTCAGCCGGAACTGGGAACACTTCCCTTAAATCCTGATGTACTCGTTACATCATAAGAAGAATGGCATCTACGCTAACTTTAGTGTCTTTGTTTATCCCGAGGTTTACCGCAATCCGCCGGATCCAGGCCGTATCCAGATCTGATGAAGGACCTGCGTCTGGACGCGACGACAACACAGTCCTGAAGTGTCAACTAGTCCCTTCCTGTGAAGGCCTCCTTCCCTTTACCTCTGTACAGATAATCGTTTTCGGGATAATTCCGGTTCACGTGGCACCGAAGCGATAAAATTCTGTATTATAAATTTTAAGGCCAGACAAGTAGTTTGTTGAGGGTTGTTTTTAAAGGGAAGGACTACATGCCTGCGCACATATATTCAAACGCGCATACCTATAGAATGAACTCCTAATACGCATGTGCACGCCATCAGCGTTCTCACAGGTTCGCGTTTTTAAAGTTTGCGTAGAGAGAACTTAAGAGTTTTCTGTTAAAACGGTGTCGTGTTAGCTAATAACTAAGTTAATAACTAATGATCGTTGCGACGGAAGTGAATCAATCAAAACTTCAAAACTTCAATCTAACTTTAACTGGAAAATAACTTCATTCTAGAGCTGCCATAAAGCCAAAACAATCTGTTACTTTAATTTCCTAGTATCACTGTAAAGCCGCTTTGGAACAATCTACATTGTTAAAAGCGCTATATAAATGAAGATGACTTGACTTCACCTGACCTGTCGTTCATATCTTCTTTTTATTGCAGAACTTACACTCACCGGCCACTTTATTAGGTACACCTGTCCAACTGCTCGTTAACACTTAATTTCTAAGCAGCCAATCACATGGCGGCAACTCACTGCATTTAGGCATGTAGACATGGTCAAGACAATCTCCTGCAGTTCAAACCGAGCATCAGTATGGGGAAGAAAGGTGATTTGAGTCACTTTGAACGTGGCATGATTGTTGGTGCCAGAAGGGCTGGTCTGAGTATTTCAGAAACTGCTAATCTACTGGGATTTTCACGCACAACCATCTCTAGGGTTTACAGAGAATGGTCCGAAAAAGAAAAAACATCCAGTGAGCGGCAGTTCTGTGGGCGGAAATGCCTTGTTGATGCCAGAGGTCAGAGGAGAATGGCCAGACTGGTTCGAGCTGATAGAAGGGCAACAGTGACTGAAATAACCACTCGTTACAACCGAGGTATGCAGCAAAGCATTTGTGAAGCCACAACACGCACAACCTTGAGGCGGATGGGCTACAACAGTAGAAGACTCCACCGGGTACCACTCATCTCCACTACAAATAGGAAAAAGAGGCTACAATTTGCAAGAGCTCACCAAAATTGAACAGTTGAAGACTGGAAAAATGTTGCCTGGTCTGATGAATCTCGATTTCTGTTGAGACATTCAGATGTTAGAGTCAGAATTTGGCGTAAACAGAATGAGAACATGGAACCATCATGCCTTGTTACCACTGTGCAGGCTGGTGGTGGTGGTGTAATGGTGTGGGGGATGTTTTCCTGGCACACTTTAGGCCCCTTAGTGCCAATTGGGCATCGTTTAAATGCCACGGCCTACCTGAGCATTGTTTCTGACCATGTCCATCCCTTTATGGCCACCATGTACCCATCCTCTGATGGCTACTTCCACCATGTCACAAAGCTCTAATCATTTCAAATTGGTTTCTTGAACATGACAATGAGTTCACTGTACTAAAATGGCCTCCACAGTCACCAGATCTCAACCCAATAGAGCATCTTTGGGATGTGGTGGAACGGGAGATTCGCATCATGGATGTGCAGCCGACAAATCTGCGGCAACTGTGTGATGCCATCATGTCAATATGGACCAAACTCCCTGAGGAATGCTTCCAGCACCTTGTTGAATCTATGCCACGAAGAATTGAGGCAGTTCTGAAGGCAAAAGGGGGTCCAACCCGTTACTAGCATGGGGTACCTAATAAAGTGGCCGGTGAGTGTATAATTAAATACTTATAAATAAAGATCAGGGAAAGACACAATTGTTGTACCTTTAACAATGAACAATCATAATGACAAAAAATAAAAACATAAATATCATTGTTTTGCGTACATCATAGTATTAGATATATCTTTGAAAAATTCATCATAATGCATAAAAAAAAACTTTTTTTTTGTTATTTATAAGCCTGAGGGATGAAACAAGAGAGTGGAAAACATAAAGGAGATTTAAGCCACTTGCTTGTGGATGAATTTTTTTGCATATAAAATAAAGAAATGAACGTATTCAAGAGATAACAATTTTGGGTTTCCGAAATAAAAAATAATACCTTTAAGGATAAAACTGTATAAGAAAAATATAAAATATTAAGAAAATATAAAAAAAATATAAGACTTAAAATCAAGCCAAAATACTATACTACAATCACAAAATAAATTGGCAGCTGTTTCTTCAACAAGACCACAAAATTAGTAAGTTTCATTAATATCAAGATATTTACAGACAGATGAATTAAACCTGTCGCTCATATGTTTTAAGTTGTTGCGCTTGTGATAACGTCAACATGGCGGATTATGTCCGGCTCGCATTCATACTTCATGCTTTCAGGCTATATAGTACCTATACTTTTAGCGCTCATTAAGTAAGTACTTATTGAAATTAGGTACCTACTCAGTATGTGGTTTCTAACGCAGCCAGAGGGATGAAACCAATCAGTATATATGAATGATTAGGAGGCCATGATGATGGACAGAGGCCAATGGGCAAAATTTGGCCAGGATGCCGGGGTTACAGCCCTACTCTTTTTTCGAAGAACATCCTGGGATTTTGAATGACCACAGAGAGTCGGAACCTCGGTTTAACGTCTCATCCGAAAGACGGTGCTTGTTACAGTATAGTGTCCCCATAGCTATACTGGGCGTTAAGACCCACACAGACCACCGGGTGAGCACCCCCTACTGGCCTCACTAACACCTCCTCCAGCAGCAACCTAGTTTTCCCAAGAGGTCTCCCATCCAGGTACTAACCAGGCTCAACCCTTCTTGTTTTATTACGAACTCTGACGCATTCTCTTTTTGCCAGTAGACTCTCCCCTGTTCAATGATTTTTTAAAACAGGTGATTCCCAGAGGTCGAGATTTAGCATGCTCCATGTAAACTTTTCTAGCTAACCTATGCCACTCGCACACCAAAGTAGCAACTTTTCTCTATTTAGGGATATGATGAGACACACACGGGTGAGTGACGCGTGTACACAATTTCCCACAAAAAACACCCTGACATGTCTAAAATATTAACACTTATAATAGGCTTAACATAGTAAATGAGGGTAAAACAAAAACAAGTTTTGGAAGAAGGATTGAAGATGTATTGACTCATTTTTAAATTTACATTCAGTAGGGTACCTTTAAATTACTGTATCGTGAAAAAGGGATTTTTCTTTTTTGCTGAGTCTATAATATCTAACTATAATATGAGGTCATTTATTTAATTCATAATAATTTAAATTATTTAATTACATTTATGTAATTGCAGCCTGGGCGATTTGACAACTGCACATATTGTGCCATATTGTGATATATTAACTTCATTTCGATATATAACGTGCAGCCCTGAAAATCAATCATTCAATCTAACCTGTTTCCTCAGCGAGGAAGGTGAAGCGAACCCACTGTGGCCCTTGTTCTTGAACCAGCAGCAGTGTGATTGGCTGGCAGTCTATTCCTGCCTCCTCTTTGACCTCCCTCTGCAGTGCCTCTACAATGCTTTCACGCTCTTCCATACGACCTGCAGGGAGGTACCATCTGCCATAACAATCTCTCTTTGCCTCCTGAACAAGTAACACCTCCTCCTGTATAAACACAAGCAAACACACATGCAAAACTTTTATGTTTGAAGAAGTTGACATTAATCATGGGTAGTGGAATTAGTGTACACTTTAGAGTGTAGTTATACATTGAAGTACTGAGTGATATTAATTAACTACATGTACTTACTATGAGGTTAGAGTAGGGACTAGTGTTTGGTTTAGGGAATGTAATTATGCATAATTTATAGTTATTACTATAATAACTACATGTAACGTGTAACAATGACACTGTTGAAGTGTTACTGAAATATTTAGCAAATTTTATGCAACAAAACTGTTTTGGCATGTCAAAGTAAGTTTTTTTTTACAACGTAAAAGCAAACTACTTCAAAATCTACTTCTAAAAATATGTGTCATACTGTACATGCTGGTGAATTGCCATTATATAAAACATCTACATTTTAGGTTAAAGATTAGCCATGAATTATTAAATAAAGTATATTTCCCAAAATTTAAGTTGTGGGCTAATGTGTGCCAGTGGCTCAACTAACAGTCATCTGTTCAGCTCAACTGTCATCATTTACTCACCCTCAAGTTGTTTCAAACCTGTATGAATTTCTTTCTTCTGCTGAACACAAAAGAAGATGTTTTGAAGAATGTCGGTAACCAAACAGTTGATTGACCCCATTGACTTCCATAGTATTTTTTTTTCCTACTATGGAAGTCAATGGGGCCCATCAACTGTTTGGTTACCGACATTCTTCAAAACATCTTCTTTTGTGTTCACCATAAGTAGTTTAAAAAAATATTGAAGTGTCCCCTATAGGCTATATATACAGTGAGGAAAATAAGTATTTGAACACCCTGCTATTTTGCAAGTTCTCCCGCTTAGAAATCATGGAGGGGTCTGAAATTGTCATCGTAGGTGCATGTCCACTGTGAGAGACATAATCAAAAAAAAAATATCCAGAAATCACAATATATGATTTTTTAACTATTTATTTGTATGATACAGCTGCAAATAAGTATTTGAACACCTGTCTATCAGCTAGAATTCTGACCCTCAAAGACCTGTTAGTCTGTCTTTAAAATGTCCACCTCCACTCCATTTATTATCCTAAATTAGATGCACCTGTTTGAGGTCGTTAGCTGCATAAAGACACCTGTCCACCCCATTCAATCAGTAAGAATCCAACTACTAACATGGCCAAGACCAAAGAGCTGTCTGTTGCATGTCCGATGAATTACACAGCAACTGCCATTTGTGAATGCAATGCTTTTTATTAACAGCTCTACTTGACAACACGATCCCGTGTATACAACTTCCCACGTCCCTGTGTGTATGTGTGTGTTCCGTACATGCGCATCACGGGGGGGGGAGGGGAACAGACGTTCTTAAAGAGCCCAGCACATTTAAAGTAACATGTTAATAATACACAAATTATATTGTACTTCTGTACAGATCATTTATCACAATGATCTACATCCCTTTCCTTTAGCTGAAACTACCAATCGTAGAAAGAGAATAAACATACTTAACAACGATCAATACTGTAGTATGAAATTAACTTAATCAAACATCCAAGAACATGAATGACCCTTGTAACAATGTAACCTTTGCAGTGAACAACTGTACAAATGCAAATCAACAGATGCAGATCAAAATATGATCTCTATATGCACAGAGAAAAACACATAATAAAGAATGATGCTGACAATATGGAAATGGCCATACTCAACACATTTATCCGGCACTCTGAATAAGAACCAGAGCGAGTGTCACTGATTCTCCCTTTGTTGGTACCTTGGATTCGGCTTGCAAATGCGACCTGAACGCGTTATGTAAGGTGCATTATTGACCTTGGTGGGAGACTGTACTGTGTTCTTTGTCAACTTAGTAGGTGTGGATTCTGGTTGTGGGAGGTGTGTTTGTGGTGAGTCCGGTATATGGGGAACAAAGTCCTCTGTATGGGTAGTGGTGCTTTGAAAGTCAATGTTCTCTGGGGTGAGCTGTGATGGGGGGGGGCTCTGCTACAGGAAGGATGTGGCGTCGGTTCCTCCTGTATGTTCTCCCATTGCATTGGATGGTGTATGAGCGAGGCTCCTTGTTCACCTCTTTTACCGTGCCAAGGCGCTCATATCCTTTTGGCGTTTGCATTCTAACAACTTGTCCCTCTGCCAATGGCTGCAGAGGATGACTTGATGTATCGAAGTATCGCTTTTGGGTCATCCTCTTTGCAAGAAGCTGTGCAGTGACTTGCTTGGTACATTTTGGGGCTGGCTCCAACAGTCTAGAGTTAACAGGAATGGCTGACCGTGTCTGTCTTGACAACAGGCGTTGTGCAGGGGAACCCAATGTTGGGTCACGAGGAATGTTTCTCAGATTCAGGAGGTTAAGAAACACGTCCGTGCCATCTCTGTGGGATTTCTCCATCAGCTGTTTTGCGCTGCGAACCGCTCTTTCTGCTAGGCCATTCGACTGTGGGTACTCTGGACTACTGGTGACATGAATGAAGTCCCACTGTTTGGCAAAGTTTATGAATTGCTGACACGTGTACTGACTAGCATTATCAGAAATGAGTGTATGGGGTGTGCCGTGCACTGAGAAATGCCTCTTTAGTTTCATGATTACAGCTGATGACGTTATGTTGCGGAGAAAGTCAATCTCATACCAACCCGAGTATGAGTCCACAAGCACCAGATAATTTTGTCCATGCCACTCGAACATATCTGTTGCCACCGTGGACCAAGGCAAGTCTGGAACTGGGTATGGTCTTAATGGTTCTTTTTGTTGGTGCGGCTTTGTGCTGTTGCAGACTGAGCATGAGAGGAGTTCTGCCGTGATGTCAGCCGTCATCGTTGGCCAGAAAATGATACCTCTTGCTCTGTGTTTGGTAGCGTCCAGCCCTGGGTGGCCTCTGTGGACTATTTCGATATATTCTCTCTGCAATGAGCGAGGAATGACTGTTTTGTGGCCTTTCATCACTATTCCGTTTTCCACAGCTAGCTCATCTCTGTAGGGAAAGTACGGACGCACAGTGGCCCACACGCCATGTTCTTTAATTGGCCAACCTCGTTGAATCACAGTGCTTAGATCCTGTAACACATCATCCTCCGCCGTATGCTTTCTGAGTTCCTCCAGTCTAGCAGTGGAAATGTAGTTGATAGACATGACCTCGAATGTGTCATTTTCAGTGTCTGGTTGGACTTGAGTGTCTGGAGCTCTAGATAGGGTGTCTGCAAGGTACATGAGCTTACCCTTCTTGTACACCAGGGTGATGTCATAGCACTGTAACCTGAGCATCATCCTCTGTAATCGTGCAGGAGCTGTGTGGATTGGTTTTTTCAGAATAGTTACCAGGGGCTGGTGGTCCGTCTCAACGAGTGTAGGTTTCCCATATACATAGTCCCTGAACTTTGTACAGGCAAATACGACGGCTAGCAGCTCCTTCTCTATCTGCGCATACCGTGTCTCCGTGTCTGTGAGTGTGCGAGACGCATGCGCAACTGGTTTTCCCTCCTGCATGCATGCAGCACCCAGCCCGAAGCTGGAAGCATCACAGGTTAACGTAACTGGCTTCTTCACGTCGTAGTATGATAATACAGGTGGAGTGGACAAACATGACTTGAGGGTGTCAAATGCTTGTTGGTGTTGCTGGTACCAGCACCATACTGTCTCTTTGTGTGTCAGCTTTCTGAGGGGCGCAGCAATGTCGCTGAAGTTTGGGATAAATTTCCCCAGATAATTTACCATTCCGAGGAAGCGCTGTAATGCAAGGACATCCTTCGGGGCCGGCATCTCAGAAATTGCTTTTGTTTTGGAAGGATCCGCTTTTAGGCCTTCTTTTGTAAAGATATGGCCCACATAGCTGACTTGGTCCAGCCGAAATTTGCATTTGACAGGGTTTAGCTTGAGTTTGATCTCACGTGCTCTGTTCAAAACCCTTTTCAGGTTGATGTCATGTTCAGCAGGGTTGCGACCTCCGATGATGATGTCATCAACAATAATCGCACAGGGGTACCCTGAAAACAGCTGCTCCATTGAGCGCTGGAACACCTCGCTTGCGGAGTTAATGCCAAAGGGCATACGGAGAAATCTATAGCGCCCAAATGGAGTGCTAAATGTTGTCATCATGGAGGACTTGTGGTCGAGGCGTACCTGCCAGAAAGAGCTCTTTGCGTCTAGCACGGAAAATACGGTTGCTCCTGACATCTGAGATGCTACTTCCTCTACGCTGCGCATAGGGTGATGGGGTCTTTTTAAAGCCATGTTAAGATCTTTTGGGTTAATACACAACCTGATTTCTTGCCTGTCCTTTTTGTGTGTAACCACCATGGACGAAACCCAATCCGTCGGCTCTGAAACTGCCGTTATGACGCCAAGGCTCTGCATGCGGTCCAGTTCTGATTTGACACGGCTTTGCATTGCCAGAGGAATGCGATGAGCAGGGCGAACTACTGGCTGCACGCTGGGGTCTACTGTCATGGAATACGTAATTGGAAGTTCTCCGAGCTGGTCAGTAAATAAGTCCTTGTACTCTGTAAGAATATCTCCGGTGCTGCCCTCCATACTGACATTATCCACATCTGGGCTGATTGTAACGATCGCCATGTCAAGGCATGCACGGAATCCCAACAGCGGTTGAACATCTTTATCCACCAAAAAGAATGACAGTGGATAATTTTGCCCATTTAGGCTACACTGCAATGAGACCAAGCCTTTTGTTTCAATTTTAGCTCCACCATAAGCTACAAGGTTAGGTGTCTCTGAATGTTTTGCTGGCCGTTCGTTGTTGGCAATTTGTTCGAAAGTCTTTTGTGAAATTACGTTACATCTTGCCCCAGTGTCAACTTTCATCTCGATTGGAGTTTTGTTTATGTGTACAGTGACAAATCCCTCCTCCAGCACTGGCATGTAAGGGTTAACAACGTTGACACACTTGTCAAATTCAATGCCATCAACATAAAAGGTGTCATCATGGTCAGGGGGTTTGTCTACCTCAAGTTCATGTACCGCTTTCCTGTGATTAAATTTCTTCTGACCAAATTGACTGCGTGCTTTGCAACATTTCTTGTAGTGATTCATTCTCTTGCAGTTATGACATTGTTGTCCGAAAGCAGGGCATTTTTCTTTCTTTGCTGCATGATTACCTCCGCAATTTCTGCAATTAGTTATAGTTGAATCCTGTTGCTCTGTTCTTTGTTTATGTTTTGTGTTTTGGCGCCACCTGCTGGAAAATGGCTGTATTGCATCAACGTTAGTTGCAATCTGAGGTAGGCTAGCCAACGTCTTATTATTTTCTTCTGTCATTTCATGTATGCGACAAATTGAGATTGCTTTGATCAGAGTTAATTCGCTGTCTCTTAGCAGTACTTTCCTTAAGCTTTCATTGTTGATGCCACACACAATCCGATCACAGATCAGCTCATCTGTCAATTCTCCAAAATGACAACTTTTAGCTTTAATCCTGAGATCACTGATGAAAGCCTCAATAGCCTCACCTTGTTTCTGATTCCTTGAGTGAAACTTGTGCCTCTCCATTGTTTTATTTTGTTGTGGGTTGCATATTTCACGAAATTTCCTTTTCAGGCACTCCGGATCCTCTCTGGATTCCGCGGGAGTTAGGATCGCGCCGCCGCCGCCCTCGCCTGGTGCACGCACCTCCGCTGCATAGACAAATGAACGCTCCCGTTCAATGGCTTCCGATCCTGCAAGATTGAGGAGGATATATGCCCTTGTCCTGGCAGGCTTATCATAGTGTGCTGCGGCGATGAAAATGTCATACTCTTGCTCAAAAATTCGCCAATTGTCGGCGATATTTACATCAAAAGTGAGCGGGTCTGGTCTTCTAAAACAGTCCGCCATTATCACTCTCTGCGTGCGCGGTCGTGAGAAAACGAGCAGTTCAGCCTATGTCTTCTTACACCGTTGGTTCACTCACGGGCGAAAGGTCCGTATCGTCTTCTGACACCATGTTGCATGTCCGATGAATTACACAGCAACTGCCATTTGTGAATGCAATGCTTTTTATTAACAGCTCTACTTGACAACACGATCCCGTGTATACAACTTCCCACGTCCCTGTGTGTATGTGTGTGTTCCGTACATGCGCATCACGGGGGGGGGGGGGGGGGGGAACAGACGTTCTTAAAGAGCCCAGCACATTTAAAGTAACATGTTAATAATACACAAATTATATTGTACTTCTGTACAGATCATTTATCACAATGATCTACACTGTCCAAAGACACTAGAGACAAAATTGTACACCTCCACAAGGCTGGAAAGGGCTACGGGGAAATTGCCAAGCAGCTTGGTGAAAAAAGGTCCACTGTTGGAGCAATCATTAGAAAATGGAAGAAGCTAAAAATGACTGTCAATCTCCCTCGGACTGGGGCTCCATGAAAGATCTCACCTCGTGGGGTCTCAATGATCCTAAGAAAGGTGAGAAATCAGCCCAGAACTACACGGGAGGAGCTGGTCAATGACCTGAAAAGAGCTGGGACCACCGTTTCCAAGGTTACTGTTGGTAATACACTAAGACGTCATGGTTTGAAATCATGCATGGCACGGAAGGTTCCCCTGCTTAAACCAGCACATGTCAAGTCCCGTCTTAAGTTTGCCAATGACCATTTGGATGATCCAGAGGAGTCATGGGAGAAAGTCATGTGGTCAGATGAGACCAAAATAGAACTTTTTGGTCATAATTCCACTCGCCGTGTTTGGAGGAAGAAGAATGATGAGTACCATCCCAAGAACACCATCACTACTGTGAAGCATGGGGGTGGTAGCATCATGCTTTGGGGGTGTTTTTCTGCACATGGGACAGGGCGACTGCACTGTATTAAGGAGAGGATGACCGGGGCCATGTATTGTGAGATTTTGGGGAACAACCTCCTTCCCTCAGTTAGAGCATTGAAGATGGGTCGAGGCTGGGTCTTCCAACATGACAATGACCCGAAGCACACAGCCAGGATAACCAAGGAGTGGCTCTGTAAGAAGCATATCAAGGTTCTGGCGTGGCCTAGCCAGTCTCCAGACCTAAACCCAATAGAGAATCTTTGGAGGGAGCTCAAACTCTGTGTTTCTCAGCGACAGCCCAGAAACCTGACTGATCTAGAAGAAGATCTGTGTGGAGGAGTGGGCCAAAATCCCTCCTGCAGTGTGTGCAAACCTGGTAAAAAAAACTACAGGAAACGTTTGACCTTTGTAATTGCAAACAAAGGCTACTGTACCAAATTTTAACATTGATTTTCTCAGGTGTTCAAAAACTTATTTGCAGCTGTATCATACAAATAAATAGATAAAAATCATACATTGTGATTTCTGGATTTTTTTTTTTTTTTTAGATTATCTCTCACAGTGGACATGCACCTACGATGACAATTTCAGACCCCTCCATGGCAATGTCCAGCTAAGTGGGAGAACTTGCAAAATAGCAGGGTGTTCAAATACTTATTTTCCTCACTGTATATATATATATATATATATATATATATATATATAAATCAATAGAATATTATTATTATAATATTTAATTATATAATGAAATTAGAATTCATATTATACTTTAATTTTTTGAAAATGGAAAAACCTGAAATAAAAATAATAATCATGAAATGAAATATTAAGCATATCAAACTTTCTCATGGCTTGTATATGGTATGAATATCTTAAAAACTGTGAATATGTGCAGCATGAAATAACTCTGGAATGGGATAGTGCATTTGAAGTGTTTTTGTTTTTTCATGCTCCCAGTGAAATTGTACAGCTCATTAGTGGAACTAATTAGGTGATGTTCGGCAGGGGGCGGACTGTAATAATAAGAGGACAACTTAGAGAAGGCAACTTTAAAGACATGCAAGAATGACGCAATCTTTACCTTTGAGTTGAAGATCACTGCGCTGACAATGTAACAGACGTTTTTCCTCAGTGTGACAGGGTTCACTTCCGGGGCTAAATCAAACTCTCCCAACTCAAGTCCCTCACCCTTCAAAATCTTCTCTAAGTTTTCCTCCAATATTTTTGCCGTTGAGTCCATGTTGAAGCTGCCTTAATTCCACTATACAATATAATGCATATGATTAATATTGTTCTGTTTCAGATCAAGTGGCTGCCTACGGAGACAGCATGTTTAGGCATCATCACACTTAAAAACCAAAGCCTGATGCCACTGGAGAACCTTTAAAAATCCACAAAAATATGTTATTCTCTATTTCTTTAACCCATCTAACTTTATATACTGGTGCTTAAAGAAAACACAATCAAATACAATTATCTGCATAACCTCTACTGTTAGCTATCATAAAAACAACTGTTCAGTAGAATACTTTGGCTACTTGTTATATTATCTGGAATATAACTTTCGAAACACAATACTTCTATAATTTGATAATGATCTATAAAGGAATGAAAGTCACCCTATGTTTGTACGCAACGTTAAATGTTAGCAAACCAGAAATATACCGTGAAGCAAGTTAAGTCTTCCAAGTTAATTAAGCATTGTTATTAATGTTTAACGTATACTTCTATATTCATTTAAAAATCCATCTACAATTAAACTAACCTAATACCAGTCGTCATAAAACAAGGATAAATAATACTATTTAAGATGTTATGTGACTCAAAGCATCGGCTGCTTGTTTGAACTCTCGCGATAATATGCGATACTTACCTGTGGACCGAGTCAAATTACATTATTTGTAGTTTCGTTCTGTTTAATAATATTTCAGTAATTTTTTGCTTCCTTGGTGACAGTGATTAGACCAACCTCACTCAACTGCATTTAAACAATAGTCATTGTAAAAGAGAGAAACGTCGCAGTTATTTTCGTTAGAAAAATAGTTAAATGTTGTGTACTTTTTAGACTATCCCTAACTCATATTCTTAACGGTTAGCAACAATAGCAGACAAAGAGTGTTCTTTTGTTGCAAAAGAGTGGATATTTTTGTGGGCGGGTGAAAGTAAGTTAAAAGCTCATACGAATTAGTGTTCTAGTAGTTTGCATTGCCATATCAGGTTAGAGTAAAGGGTTAAAAAGACAAACGTTTCGTGACGCATGCTCGGTTTCGCCCTCTACAGACGGGGCTCATTGGAGATGCAAGTCCGAGCGAATTGCCTAATCCAAAGATTTCGAACAGAGAACTGAAACGGGACCCTTTTTCTGACATACAAACACATCCTGATCAGCGATATGTGACGAACTGTTAAACAAACTTATAAGAGGAGGATAAAGTGTAACAAAATGAGCAGGTAGCTGAAACTGTGCCGTATCTATTTTTTCTCCACGGGAACGTTATGTGGAGCGGGCTCATTGCCATTGCTTGGAGGACAACGCCTGGATAAGGAAGAGAGGGCAACATTTGACGTTACTTCGGAACGGCATTTGAATACGGATACTTTACAGACATGGTTAATGCAGTTTGTTCACGTCTTGTTAAAAGCGCCTTTATGTGGTTAATGCTTCACGCGCTCATCGACAGCAGTGGAGGTGAGAGAACAGCGACGGACACCATTGCGAGTCATACATTGTCCACAACACTTACCAATGTTGACTGTTTGAATGTATAGGCACCACTATAGTAAATTGTAGCTATTGTTATGTTAGTACTTTCTGAGAAATAGCAAGTACTTCTATTTACTAGTATTTTTTCAGTTCCATTAGAAACTATAGAATATGGAACTATAGATAGAACTATCCACTAGACTAGAGAAACTATTCATTATACTAGAACTTATTCAAATGACTAGCACCTATTAATTTAGTCACTAGTATTCATGTTACCTTTGCTTCTATTGTTACCTGATAACAAACTTTTTTTTTTTTTTTTTTTGCTATTAGAATCTGTGGCCAACTTCCAACTAGTAACGTTACCCTATGTCTTCTTTTACTGTCGACTATTCATATGCATACTAGACTAGTATCTGTTCCAATTTTTCAAGTACTAATGGACAGTAGTATCAGTGTGTATTCCAAAATATTGTTTGTAAAATTTTAAATTTGACAACCCTCTACAGACATGCCGGTAAAATAATCAGTATGGCTAGTAGCCTACATTTTATATGTGATATTGTTTGAAAGCATAAACACGTTTAATATGAACTTTAATAATTAAAACTAAAACTTGGCAACCATTTATAAATGTAAATGTAGGACTGCATATAGTCATATTAAACAATAATTTTAAATAATTTTTAAACGTTTTACAAATACTGTAATCTCTGCAGTTTACGTGTTACAATCAAATTATACGTAAACATCTAATTATTTTCCTAGGCATGACGCAAAATCGCTTAGTAGCTTACTGTCTGGTACATAATAATGAATAGTTACTGGTAAAACTGGAAACATGTAATAGCACTATTAGCAGCAATTGGTCACAAGTGAATAGGGATTATGTAAACCACAGAACAACAGAAGTTGATGGCAATATATATATTTTTTTACCAGTAACAATACAATAGTATATCAAAGCAATACTATGAATATGTTTTAGTGAAAAATGAATACTTGTGTTACTTGTGATATTAAAAAAATTACTAGTGACTGTTGATTACTTACTTGTAATTAGAAAAAAAATTAACATAAAAATAGGTGCTAGTTAGTAGGAATAAATGTTAAAAAGGCTTGCCACAGACCACTGGATCACAGGCACTGCTCTTTATTCTTTTACTTTTACATTTGTTTTACTTGTAGTGAAATCACTAGCTTTCCAAAAGACATGCACATAACATTACAAGATTGGTGTTTCTCTGTTTAAAGGACAAATCTATGTTTGTTTGAGCCTTTCATGTTTTGCAGTGATGTTGTACATTGTCTATCCTCTAGAGATATTTTATTTTGATAAGAAAGAATATCATGTCTGTCCGGTGTACATGCTTAAGCAGTTCAATAATAGCATATTTGAGTTAATTCTGAATTTATAGGCATCTCCTCGCCTTTGAGTCTAAAGGGCTTTTACTTTAAGATCAATATGAAATGTACAGTATTTAAGTAATTTCTGCCACTTTTAACTGCCAATTTGCACAATCCAGTAGATTAACATCTTTTCCAACACTTTTCCATAATTTGAATTAGGACAAGGATGTTGTCCTGGTTGAGTGAACTTTATAAACTGTCAAATAAAAACATGTATCTTTACTTGAAAGTAAGTCTTAAATTACACTTAGGACAACAGGAAAATGTAGTAAAATATGTGTTAAAAATAAATATATTTTTAATATATCAATTTATTAACATGTATACTACTATATATATATATATTTTTTTTTAACATTTTTAAAATAAATATATGTTCGTTAAATGTTTTATTTTCTTTGCAAAAAATATATTTTTTTGTTTAATTTGCTATAGCTAATAACTGGTAATTATACATCTATAATGTATATATATTATTTTCAAAGTTTTATTTTGGCAATATCTTATCTTTGCATCCATGGCATAACAACGCATGTAGATGATCAGTAAATGAAGGTGTAGTGACAGTGCAGCACTGGCCTGATAGGCTATAGCACATGACAGTTCTGTCAACTGGCCCAGAAATGCTCTTTCATTGGCTGTGGGCCATCAGACCCTTTAAGCTCTGTGTAATAAGTCAACTGTAAGTCGATTTAAAGTGTCCGCTTACACTTATTTTAGCGTTTCATGTATAGAAACAGAGAGACTCCCACACATGCTATTAGAGAAATTGAGGGCATGTTTTGAGCTGAGAATGATGGTGAATGCCTGAAGATCAAGATAAATGGTTCTCTGAGAATTTTGTGTGAATGTTCAGTAAAGGGACACAAGCATTATGAATTGTTCTGTCTTATCTACCCTTTTTGGGAAAACAGCAAAGGAAGTCTCATCCAACTTGTTGACTGATGACTCAGGAGCGGGTGGGATGCTTCTCCTTCCTGAGGTCTTCCTCTCTTCATGCCCGTGCAGCACTTTTTCCTCCAACATAAAAAAAACACTGAGCACTTGATTGCACTTACAACCAGTCAATTGCACTCAATCTAATCACCCATGATCACAATAGTAGTTTCATATAAATATATTTTGTTGCAATGAGAGGAATAATGTTGGAAAATAGTTGTAGAAATGAATGGGAATTGATTATACAGTGCAAATTTTCCTGTATTGTATAATTTGTTTGTTGTGTGTGTATTGGTCTTATGGGTAGACAGTGTTGTGACGGGACTGTTTCTGTTCATAGGCTCAATAACTCAGCAGACCTCTCAGCTCTCTTCTTATGAGGTGACGGTACCGAGACGCATCAGCAGACATAGAAGAGACCAGGACAGTGCAGATAAGGTAAACAACCTTACCAAACACAAGAGTTACTTTGCATTAACTGTGTGGATAGTATCTTTAGCTTGTCCCTCTCATTCTCTGTACATCCTCGCCTCCTTTTTCCATTTTTTTGATATCATATCCATCTACACCAGCGGTGCTTCAAAGACAATGCCACAGGAACCATCTGGCAGGCACACGTGCCCAGCAGCGTGGGCGTAGTTATTAAAAGACCACGCTGAGAGACGCATACCACCAGCATGGCACAAACAAACACTCAATATTCCTCTGACCTCTGTGTCATTGAGAAACAGTGTACTCAGAGTTTGGTAGATGAGAGAATGAGTTTGAGAAGAAGAGAATGAGTTTGGGAGAAGACCGATTTTTGCTGGCATAGCCTTGAAATCCGTAACTCAATTTATAAACCAGGAACATTCACAACACAAAAGAAATGATGAATTTTGTCATTTGATGACTTTTTTTTATTTGTAAAAGAATATTTAAAAGTGCCAATTTCTACACTTTTTTATTTTTTTCCTCCTGAATTCCAGTTATAATGTTAATCAAGGTTTCTTGCTGCAAAACAATCATTATGGTAATTAGGTTAGAAAAAAGGTTAGAAATGAAAAATGTGTCTTTTTTCCATTTTGAAACACAAAAAGAGCTCTTTGGCAGAATGTCCAAACTGTTTTCTAGAAAGAATCAAAAAAGGAGTGGAAGATTAGCACAAAAATTAAAGTTGTCCAAGTCCAAGCTTTATGCGAACAGTCAAATTTAAGTTAATATTCACTCATAATCTTCCACTAAGCCATAGCACTTTTTAAAGTCGGCATGAAACGGAAGTAGCGATAGACTTTTCTTCTCTATTTTGATGTATATCACATATTTAGCTTTAATTTATGTTTATTTTGGTTTTAGCTTTAGTAATATAATATCACTTTAGTACTTCAATTTATACCCTAATTTAATTTGGTTAGTTGCCACAGCAATATTTATATTTTTCATTAAAGTTTTTTAATCTAATATTTATATTATATTTGATATATTTCAGCTTTATTTCCACTTCAATTTAGTTTTAATAAACGAATAGCGACGCTGTTTGTGACTATTTGTGAGGTGGTTTAGCATTTTCCATAAAGTAACTCTTTAAATCCTTGCATTTCAAAAGAATTTTGAAAATAAAAATAAAATCCCACACTGTATTTTTTCTTGTCCGAGAAGCCGTTTTAATTGGATATACATCACAATAGAGAAGAAAAGTCTATCGCAACTTCCTTTTCATGCCAACTTTAAAAAGCTCTATGGCTTAGTGGAAAAAGAGTGTGGAAAGTCCTGTTTCCTCAAAATATCTCTTT